TCAATATGCCCTCAATAAATTCAATAAAACTTCAATAATAATCAATAAAATATGCCCTCAATAAAATTTAAAACGATTTACACCATTACACTTATAATCAATTACCTAGATTTATCTTAATATGTCTTAATTATGTTGCATACGTCTATGTAACAAATTTAAATAACTATTCACTCACAATAATGCTGTGTTCGTGGCTGACGATGACATGTTGCCGATGTTGATGATGCTGCTGATGGATTTGTAGGTACTGTAATGTGACTTATTTGTTTTTGTTGGTTACACCTGGAGTTGTCTTCGCTGAAGAGTGATCAATTCTTCGTTGTTGACAGTAGCCTTTGAGGGTTGCCTCTTTTGTGGAATCCTACCGACTGCGCCAGTGCTACATGCGGCCCTTCAGGGATCCAAAAGCTGTCGTGCTTTTACAAATAAATATAGTCAATTTAAAATATGAATCAATTGTACTTTATTAAAACCAATAATAAATAATGTAGTCGTGGTGAAATTGCAGCGCCGTGAGTTGACTTGTTGTAGTAGTTGATAATCTCCGTGTAAGTTGTGTGTGATGGCTGGGCGGCTAAGCGAGTCGTGTGTTGTTCTCGTCTCTGGATACATCTAATTTGTATTGAGGCCCTAGCCTCTATATATACGAATATACGAAGGCGACGCCCTTTGAATTGAGCGGCGCGTGGCATGTAGGCGCCCTTGGGAAGTTGTTGTGATCCGAAGCGTCTATTCTAGCTATGACCACTTTTGGGTGCGGTCGACGAGGCCGCTTTCTACATAAGTAGTACTTGTTATTGTGAGCGTTGTACATGAATTGCGTAATCCCATTACAACGCGTACAAAACGCGGGAGCTGTGAAATCAAAACTGGTCGGCGTTTCATACGCATCGTACGCGCAATACGCGCGTATTCATCAGCTCGCGTACAGTACGCGCGGCTGTGAAACAGTGGCGTATTTACGGGGGGTCCATGGGGTCCGGACCCCTCCCATTGACTCGTGTCTCGTACATGTTAAATGTTGTGCAGTTTTTACATGATTAAAAAACAAATTTTATCATATGATTTTACGGATTGTAAAAAAAATTTTCGAAGCTATAGTTAATAGCTCAACATTTTCAATAAATATCGTGATTATTTTTATCAGTTGGTTACCGGAAATGGTTGAAAAATACCAAATTCATTCTTTAATTCAAATATTTTGTAGTTTTGTACATTGCCAGTATCTACAACCACTCCAGAGAGATCTTTTTCAAACTTTTTAAGGTTGAAAAGTTATCTAAGATCAACTGTGAATGAAGTAGGTACCTAATGTAATTAAGGAAATATTTGTACAAAAGTTATAACATATAACTATATATTTGATTCTGACTATTCTGAGGGATCTATTGGTTCTACAATGGTGATTATTTTTTTTTCCTGTATACAAAATTTCTTCCAGAAGGAGTGCTTCGATTTCAACATGTATAGACATATAGTAACTTATCTTTTAGAAAATTGGATCAAGATTACTATCTTAGAGAGGTCATTTTTTGATTTTCTCAATAGTTATTTAATGCCACTGTAAAAACCACCAAAAAATTATGAAAAACCTCTAAAAATGGGATTTTAATTTCTAACACTTTGTCTATCACCATAGAAAAAATAAAAAATAAAAGTATTTCATTATTAATTCAACGAACAGGCTATAATAAATAATAACAATATAAAATATCCAGACTGACAAACCGTCTTCGCTCAGAATCGTTTTTCTTATACAATGATATTATATTATATCATTGAGTTCAAGTTTAATACAATCCATTATACATTGACCCACTTGTAACCTACTGTACAGCAGCAGAGTGACATCCACTCACCTGCTTTTTTTTAAATTTGTTTTGTACATATTATTATTTAATAATTAAAAACTCGACAATTTTATATCGTCTTATAAATATGGTATATTTTATTTAATAAAGAGTAAATGAGTGGTGTGGGGGGCTTCGTCCCCCGTGGCTCTGTGTTCTGGAGTTCTGGGCCCTCCCCATGACAAATTCCTAAATACGCCACTGCTGTGAAAGAGGCCTAATACTCATAATGAAAAGCGGTTTTCATATTACAAAACCTTAGATATTTTCCTACAACCTGATACTATCATCCTATTGAAACGTAGAAAACGTAGAAAACGTATATTTTATCCATAATTTATACATATTTTCATTTGTTCATACTTCATAGTATTATACATATTATACCAACACAAACAATAACAATACAATCGCCGTTTACGGGTTTTCCTAAATACAACAGCAGACTACGTTTCGACTAAATTCGTTTAATTTTGTTATCTGCAATCATTAATCAATAGTATTACAATTTGTTACATATTATTAGGCACTTTGTGTCTTCGCATTTATTATCTTACGTCAAACTTGCGTTCTAAAATGTATTTAAAACCATATAGTTTTGAGCCAAATGTTAGTGACATTGATAGTTTTGAACCAAATTATTCTGTATCTTTATGTTTACCAAATGTTCAGGGAAGAGCCCAAGTAGAAGTAAATGAGTGGTGTAATTGTGAAAATTGTGCAAAAATGTCGAACGATTTAGAATGCATGTGTTGTTCAGAATTTGATAACGTAAAACAATTATTGGATTCAAAAAAATGTGTTACTGCTACTGCTTCCTTTGAAAAAAATATTTTAGATGAAGAAATATTGAATATTACTCGCCAACAGATGATTATGAAAACTAAAAATAAATTGAAGAAAAAGCAGTTGAGCGCGTTAGAAGTACCGAATAAAACATGGAGATATATTTGTTATGTTCAGTTTACTCATTGGGTTAATTCATGGACTTCATTGGGAAAAGGTATATTTAAATTAAAATGTACCTATACATACAAAAATATACTAACTAAATTATATATTATAGCCTATTGTAGGGTATTGTAGCTCTAGTTCCATTTTTACGTTTGTAAAATACAGACATACAGTAGAAGGTTCAAATTTTAAAAATGTATCGTAAGGTATTTTCAAAAAAAACAGAGTCTTTTCTTCATTTTTCGGGAAAATTCTATCATAATCATCATCATCATTGTCATCGGTTTTCTCATTTATATTATCATTTGAATCACTGTCACTTGCCAATAATGAATGATTTGGTAAGTCAATGTTCAATAATTCTCTTAATTTAGTTTGTTGTTTATAGCGATCTTGGAAAACTGATATGTATAATGATTTAGGAAGAATTTTATGATCAAGCTGTTCAGATAATTTGTTCCATATATTATGTGATGGAGGATTTAAACGCCCATTTTCAAAAATATAATACTTATTTCCTTCCAAAACTTTGTAAATAGATTCACAATTTAATTTAGGTTTTCTGCCAGCCTTAGCATAACCTGACTGAAAAGTGAAATAATATTTCATCATAATGTTGTCATATAAAAATTAAAGCTTTTCATTTTACAATTGATTTATTGGTTTAATAACAATGCATATTTGTAAGGATTTTACAATGGTGAGTTTTAATTATTTTTGTAAACACTAAGATAAAAATGCTTCATACCAATTATAATATTAATATTTATATTTATTTAAATATAAATTTTATATTCAATAAAAAATCTATATTTGATAAAAATTTGATATTCAATAAAAAAAATCAATATTTAATAAAAAAATATATTCAATTGAAACCTTGTTAAATTAAAAAATTATACAAATTTTGATTGAAAATGTTTATAGATTTCTTATGAAATAAAGATTTTTATTATACTTACATTTTTTAAAAAAATGTTTAGTTTTTTTTATTGAATATCAATTCTTATTATATATAGATTTTTTAATTTTATTTAGCTTTTTCAATAGTTTTTTATTCTTGGCTCTTTTGTATTGAAATACAAATAATGAAAATTTCTAATTTTATTAAAAAATCTTTTTAAAAAAAAAATGTAAATATAATAAGAAATCTATATTTGATAAAAAAAAAACTATTTAATAAAAAAAATCTTAACAATATACCTATTAAAAAATAAAAAAATAATTCGTATAGAAAATCTATATTCAATAAAAATTTTAAATAATTAAAAATATTAAAATATAATAAAAAATCATAGTTGTATATACATTTCCCTTTGCTTTTAAAAATTACTGGAGATTGTTTCACATTCAACTCCCCCAAAGTACCAACCAGATTTTCTTTCTCAATAAATAGATTCTTAAGCAGAAAATCAAATCATTTTTACTGCCCTAAAGGTAATTCTGCCCCAGACAGAAATATAAAAACACACATAATTATAATTCAATAGTCAGCGCTCTGCTCAGAATTAATATAATATATCATTGTAAAACCAATACCTTAATTGCTTCAATCGAAATCTTAAATATTTTATTTCTAAAATATTCTTTTAACTCATATATAATTTATAACACTTAGGTAATAATACTAGAAATCTTTGGTTTACATAATCAATACCTCACTATTAGTTTTCATAAATGTTTTTTCTATCATATATTATACAGGATGCGTATACACCTGTACTTCATTGGGAAAAGGTATATTTAAATTAAAATGTACCTATACATACAAAAATATACTAACTAAATTATATATTATAGCCTATTGTAGGGTAGGTAGTTACATTTAGTACAATAACCAAGTTTAAATATTTTTAGGAGTCAGAGTAGTCATTCCTGCATGTGTCATAAACAAAATAAGAAATAAGTACCCGGAAAAAGATGGACTGTATGTTGGTTTCAAAAAATCAAATACATATTTACCCTCGTAATTGTATATATTTATTGTAATTTTTTTTATTATATTCAATAAATAATCATTCTGAGTATAATAAATTCTAATTCAACCTTAAAAATTATGTATGGTTAATAATTATGATAATAATAATAATAATAATAGTTAATAATAATTAATAATAATAATATTTAATTAATAATTTCATGATTTAAATAAAAAGGTCAAAATCATCAGTAATTTATTTTTATGACACTTTTTTATTTTTGAAACCTTGAATACTTTTTCAATCTCATTTTATCAATATTTGGATTTGGTATTGAAACTATATTGGTCGGAATTCGCAAATTATCATCGATTGTACTTGTTTCTGTATTTAAATTATTAACTGTTCTTGCATTAATTTTGATATTTTCAATTATAATTTGTCGCCAATTGTTTGATGGATTTTTGTAACGATTTTTTAATGTGTAACGGCCGATTGGCTTTGAAAAAACCAATTTATCTCCTATGAGTGTTTTGTTTACATTATAATTGTGATCGAGAATGGCTATTATCGAACCTAAATACATTCCATTAAACTTGAGATGTATTCTTTTGGGCATAAATTTCAAGCGAACGTTATGGTAGGACTCCAAGCGACCAGTATGTACAAAATGTTTTGCGTGTTGTAAATCTTTTAACAAATCTTTAGCCATAATAATTTTTTTTAACGCAAAGTAAGACTCACTATTAGGATGTATCCAAAGCTTTTTTTTTAAGTCTTCATCGTTTAACTTTTCGTGTTCACATTTTTTTGTTTTGCCATTATCTTCCCATTCGTGCACATTACTAATGTGGTTAAGAACTGAAGTGAATTTTTCAACGAGTAATGATCCGTCACCGTTACAAGTTTGAGAGGACCACCATAAATGGTTATTTATGCTCGTTTTCCATAAATATGCATCTGGATATTTTTTGTCAAGTCCTTTCAATCTTTTCGACAAACTCTTAGACAAATGCCATACATCAAATTCATGTTCAATTTGAGGATATTTTGTACGTAAAAAATATCGAATACCTCTATGTCGATCCGTTAGAAATAGTTCTATATTACAATTTTCTTCTTCAATTAATTTATCGATTAACGATTCGCAAGCTTTTCGTTCCAAATCCCCAGAACCCATACCTTTTTGGACTAAATTAAAATCAATTATTTTACTGCTATGTAAGTCCATTACTGAGTAAGTGCAATATTTTGCGCAGAAACCCGGGGAATCAAATTGCCCATCTCCGGCCAACCAAATATTTTTTTCAGAATTTTTAATTTCATTTAAATTGTCTTTTCGGTGTTCACGCCACATATCATTAATAACTGGGCCTGTATGTAATTTAGTAATAAAGTCGTATGTTGTACGTGAAAAAAAAGCTAGATTTATTGATCGACAAAAAACTGACATTTGAGCGAATAAAATTCCCGAAAGCGTTAAAGCAGCTCCAATTACAATATTCCCTTCTGGGCGTTTTCCAGTCTTTTTTTGAGAAGTCCATTGAACAGTATGGCCCTCTTCGCAAACTGTAGTAACAGACAAAAATGTTCCTTGGATATAATGTTTCATAGATATATTTCTTGTTGAACATTCTTGACAGTGTTTAAACAAACATAAATTATTTTCCCAAAAAATTATAAAACAAGCATCGTCGTCAATGTTTGGTTTTGAAATTAAATCATTATCGTCAACACATGAATCAATATCATCTTCATCACTTTCTTCTTCACTGATATCTTCATGTAATTCAAATGACAATTCGTTATTAGTCTTTAGTAAATATTGAGCAACACTTTCGCTACCTAAATCACATTGGACACCAATATCATTAACATAATTTTCATGTTATTGAATAAAATCTATAGAATTGTAACTTAAGTCAAAAGAATGTTCATTTTGCGATTCCAAAATGTTTAGTTCATCTTTAGATTTTTTGACTGGTGTGCTTGATTTGAATGAAGTTGATGTGAATTGATTTTCTCTTTTTCTATTCTGTCTTTCACATCTACTTGTAGATTGTAAGGTAAGAGTAGGGTCGTCAGATTTTGTTTTGTAAATGGTAGGGAAAACATTAGATTTTAATCTGATCACTACCTTTGTGTCTGGCATAAGTTGCTTACGTAATATATCAGATTCATTGAAATCATCACTTTTAAAATGAGACGAACAAATTCTATTGTTTTTTTCTGGTATACAATTTTTAAGTTTACAAAAATTTACCAATACCTTATATCTTTGTGGAGATTTTTCGCGCTTTGGAAACCTATAAAAATGAATTGTTTCTTTGTGGCTATAACACGTACAACCGAAAACTGAACACAACATTTTAAGTTAAACAATAATTATTATAAAAAGAAAAACGAAAACGAACTATATAATAATTTTCTGCTGTCGAATACGGGTTACACTACGAAGTAAATCGACGACTGATGTCTGATAAATGATAATGAACCGAAAAATATATTTATAAAAATTGTATTGGTGTACGCCGTACGGACAATACAAGTTTATTATAAAATAATAATAACTAAGATAAGGTGGCAGTCAAAACATTAGAAAGTGGTAGATATTATTTAACATGACGGGCTGGTGAAATAATTGTAAAATAGAAACAAACGAAAAAACGTATAAATTAAATGTTTTTTATCTTTAATAGTATAATATTTATTATTTCAATAGGATGTTAGACTCATGTTGTAGGAATATATCTAAGGTTTTGTAATATGAAAACGGCTTTTCATTATGAGTATTATATGTTAATATACAAATAAATGAATAAAGACGCGTCGAGGAAATGCGTGTATTGAAATAGGCGGGCGGCCGACCGATGGAACCTGTGACATCACGCGTCATTTTAAAACGACGATAACGATTAAACGGAGTGCCGGATAATATTTTTAACGGCAACCAATTTTTAATTATACCAAATACTAAAGATTTAGCTTTTATCTATTTTTTCTTTGGATGGTCCTTTAATTTCTAATAAAGTAATAATTTTTTTTACATCGGATTTTCACCAAATCATTCCATACAGCGATAGCTACAATAATTTAACATTAAAAAAATGTAAAGAAATTTTTTTTTGTGTTTCGTGCTGCCTTAAGAATAATCGTAGAACTGTAGAAGTGCATGTTACGGGTTACACAGAAAAAGGAATAATCGGTACCTACTATTATTATAGTAGTGAAAATGTTAAAACGCTAGCCACATGAGTCAATGCGATCCGAGGTTTTGCCACCCTTGTAATATCTAAGATGACTGATTCTATAATAGTTGAGAAATTTAAATAGAATATTTAAAAAAAAAACACGGGAGACGGGACAAAAGGTGATTCATTTAACGTTAATTAAACATTCCTATTTTTCATTTTTTCCTAAATACATAAGGTACCTTAGTACTTATATTATGATAAAATTAATTTTTTTAATAACAAAGCGTTGCTTAACTACCTATATTAAATAACGTCGTCGGTTGTATAAATAATAATATTACATAATGAGTCCGGATCCACCTGCCGCGACTGACGAAATAGAAATGAGAAACAACTCGTCGAATTCTATTGACTTAATATTATATTATACTATTTATACTATAATAATCAAATATAAATATATGTATATAATATATATAGTATATACATAAAGCTAATAGCTATTAATATCCACGAGCGACGAGCGTACAGCACGGCGTATACCCGTATTGGTTAGTCATTAATAGCGATAATTACGTTATCTTGATTTTTGACGTGCCACTGGTAAGAGTATGGGCTACAAGACGTCTACAACGATAATAATATACTAAAAATAATGTTTAGGTACCTACTGGCGGTATTGCACTAAATTTAAACTAAACTACAATACCCAATATAAATTAAAACTCAACAGCATAATATTTGTCACCATACACAATACAAATGTACATTGTATACCTAATCATTCGATTAATCAAATAATATCAATACAAAACTAAACAATTTAATAATTTTGAACAATATTTTGGTATCAAATTTAAGTGCGAATTGTGAGGCCCCTACAAGCGCGAGGCCCTAGGCAAATGCCAGCACTGCCTACCCTTAACGACGGCCCTGACTGTCACCCTACTCACCCTGACTACTCAATCGTCCCCTGGATGAGTACTCACGACTCGTCCCATCTTCCAAACTGTTGGTGGGACATTCGGACGACGCAGTAATACTAGATCTCCGACGCGGAGATTCGCCTGCTTGCGGTACCACTTTGATTTGCCTTGTAGGGTGCTTAGGTATTCCGCGGACCACCGGTTCCAAAAGGACTGTTGTAGTTGGTTCAATAACTGCCATCGCGTTAGACGGTTGATCGGCGTTGACGTCACATCTGGGTCAGGTAATGCTAGTATGGGGCAACCGATGAGAAAATCGCCAGGAGTGAGAGCACGCAAATCATTCGGATCTGTAGACATGGGGGTGATCGGTCTGGAGTTCAGGACTGCTTCGATTCGGTGTGTCAAAGTGACCATCTCTTCAAATGTAAGTAATTGATTGCCGATGACTCGCTTTAGGTGGTACTTCACCGATTTAACGGCTGCCTCCCACAACCCCCCAAAATGAGGGGCAGCTGGAGGATTGAAATGCCATTTACATGGTATGGCAGCTGAAAGAAGATCCCGAGCAGATGGGTCTTGTAGATGAGAACGTAAAACATTGTCAGCACCTTGAAAATTCGTTCCACAATCGGAATAAATGTTCATCGGAACACCGCGGCGCGAAACGAACCTTTGCATTGCGGCAATGAACGCGGGAGTGGATAGATTCGAAACAACCTCTACATGGACCGCCTTCACTGCCATGCACACAAAGATTGCTAAATAACACTTACTTGCGCGAGCATTTCGACGTTTTCCTTCCTTTATCTCAAGAGGGCCAGCATAATCAATGCCTACATTGCTGAAGGGTCGTACTGACTGGACTAGAGGCTTAGGGAGGTCTCCCATGACGGGTGATGGGATGGATGCTCTGTGTGTCGCACATGGTACACACTTAAAAATTATATGTCTTATGACGGAGCGACTCGATATGATCCAAAACCGTGCACTTAAGAGCGAGGACACCAGTTGCGGTCCGGCATGAAGATAATTCATGTGGAAATGGCGAACGAGCAAAGTTGTGAGCACGCAAGACTTTGGCAATAAGATAGGGTGCTTGAAATCCTCATTGGCATTGGCATGTTTTAGACGACCTCCTACCCGAATGATTCCGTCTGGGTCCAAAAAGGGTGACAGACGCGCGAGCGATACTGGAATAGCTGTATTCTTGGACGAAGTAAGACTTATGACGGCAGAATACAAATTCTGTGATTGTGTGGTCTTGACGAGTACCTTCAAGGTGTCATCTAATTCTGACTGACGGATATACCCTAAATAGGTAGGCTACAAGCAATGAATCGACGGATGTGGACAAGGACTCGTTGAAGACGTGTAAAGGATGAGAACCGTTCTAGCCAACTCGTGTCACCACATGGCACAGTGACAAGATGAACTGTATCTACAAGTTTTCGTTCTGGCAATAGGTCACTTGGCACAACATGGAAACTGACGGTAGTCCAATGGTTGACTGACTGCTTCAGCAAGCCGGGCCCATTCCAGTACAAACTATGAGATAACATTTCTTTAGGGTACATGCCTCTTGACGCGCAATCCGCTGGGTTGTGGTGAGTAGAAACGTAATGCCAATGACAAGTCGGTAATAATTCGGATATCTTCTTCAACCGATTTGTCACGAAAATCTTGAATTCTATATGATAGTACAACGGTGGAGTCTGTCCATGCGTGTACCTCTTGAATATCGATCTTCACAGCAAGGGTTGTTCGTACTCGATGTGGTGTTTGTGCAAGTAGCAACGCACCACAAAGTTCCAGCCTCGGGACTGATAATACTTCATCTGTTTTTCCTGACTTCAACGGTGCAACCTTGGATCTAGCGGTTATGAGGTGTACGGTCGGAGGCATGGAACTGTACTCTAAACGCATGTACACGACTGCAGCGTATCCGTCTCGCCATAATATATGTTGATAATCGCAGTGTGACGAGTGAATGTTAATTTGGCGATACATTTTGCATATGGCAGCCGTGAACATGTATTTATTCAAGCGACAACGGAGTAGAATGTTCATGATGTCGCATTGTAATTTTGGACCGACAAATAACGTATCGTTCAATGAGACACCTGAAGACGTGCGAGCCGAAGCGTCGAAAACAACTCTTAACTTCATCTTGTCCTTAGCGTACTTTATGACCGCATGATGAGGAATCAGGTATTTCCCCGGTGTGGTTGCAGCCTTCATGTGTCCAAGTGATTGATATTCACTCATAAACTGCCGGTATTCAGCGTATACTTCAGGTTCAGCTTGTAGTTTGCGTTCTAAGTTGAAAAACCGTGATAAAGCCATACTCCGTGAGTCGCTGAGAATTTATGGGTCCATCTTGAATGGCAGAGATACAACATAACGGCCTGTATTGTCTCGACTGGTGGTCAGTTGAAAGATGTCCTCACATTTCTCTTGTTCAGTAAATGGGATAGACTGACACTCTGGCTCTTCACAGGCCCAGAAACGATGTAGCAACTCCTTTAACGACGGTTCCGAGGATAGCTTTAAGCACACTCGTGACTGAGCATGGCATTGACTGGAAGTTCCCATGAAAATCCAACCGAGTGACGTCTCAAAGGCCGAAGGAAGCCATCTTCGTGGAGGACTTGATAGCCATTTTCGAATAATTTGTTGTACATGTCCGTGCCGATAAGAAAATCAATGCGACCCGGGCAATCGAACGACGGATCAGCAAGTTGCAGTTTAGAATATGTGGATCGTATTGCAGGGCTCAGGGCTGCTAAAGGCATAAGACCTGTGATTTTGGATAATATGACAGGCTCGCATATTAACTCAGGGGCAAACGACGTATGAGGAATAATATGACATGTGACTGAACCCCTTGTTTGTAGAATCGGACTTTGAGATAAACCCACGACAGTAATATCAGTAGGATGTCTGTTGAGGCCCAGCCTAGTTGCACTTATATGTGTAATGGCCGAGATCTGGGAACCAGAATCAATAAGTGCCCGAACAGGTGTCCATTGTCCAAATTTGTCAAGTACACGAATTAGGGCCGTGCCTAGTACATTCAAATTGGTAGTGTTGACCGTACCGACAAACGCAGTTGAGGACTGTTCTGTGGACGAAGTTGAAGACTTTGGTTTGTTTTTTGGTAATGAATGGGTGCCTGAAGTTGCTGACGATGATGCCTTTTTCTCAATCTCATCCAAATGCAATAACGAATGATGTCGAGCGGAGCAATGACGGCAAGAGTATTTTGACTCGCATTTCGACGAAGTATGAACAGTACTCATGCAATTGGTACACTTGCGGAGTGACTGTATCTTTTGGAGACGTTGTGCAGTAGACAAATTTAGGAATGTTGCACACCTACCAGTATAATGCGAACCCTTACACATAGGACAGGAGTTTACGGACTCAGTGGACGAAGCAACTAATGAGGTCCGAAGATACGAAGAGTTGTTCTTCACTCCAACTTTCAGCTTATGTACATTGGACACTGGCGGGATTGAAGTTGAACTATTTTATAGCACTTTACACCTTGTCTGAACAAAATTTAACAAGTCATTTATAACTGGCAATGCATCACTATTATATTGTGACTCGAAATGACATCTAATGGTGGAGTCCAATACGCGTGATGCGACGTAGAACAGGAAAAAACATTCTTTGTCCGGAATATCAAAACTTTGGAGGGCTCCAATATTTTCCTTAAAGGTATCGAGAAATGCCTTCAAGTCGAATAACGAAGCAGATTTCACCGATGGATAGTTAAAAATTTTATCCATATGAGCACTGATAATCAAGCGTGGGTTGTTGAAAAGTTCCCAAAGAGCCTTCCACGCAACCTCATAATTTGCTTCGGACAACGGAATCGAACGAACTACAGCACCTGCGCTATCCGTAACCGCAGCCAATAGGTGGTGAAACTTCGCGATTTTTGGGATGTGGTCGTTGTCGTGTACTAACGATCTAAACGTATCCCGGAACGTTATCCACCGGAGAATATCACCGTCAAAACTCGGAATCTGTATTTTTGGCAGTTGTAAGTGGTTTGACTGATCTTTGGTGTCCGATGTAGTTGTGATCACTGACGGAAGGTTGTTGCCACATACATCATCAGCGATGGCAATGATGTTATAGTATTATTCTGTCAGGGTGGCGTCCAAGGGTGAATGGTCTTGCAAAGCTGGCTTACTACATCTCCCCCTTTAAAAGTTGATTTTTCTCGTTTTAGACGATAAAAATTAACTCAATCATCCCTTCATTAGTTCAAGCACTTTCATGTGGTTACAAGTTACATATATCAATTATTACATTACATTCAATTATTACATGTTTACATAATATGTTTGTTACAGATATTTAGTTACTTTATTGAATTATATGGTACATTCCACCATACTTTTCTGGTTATATTTATTAAATATTATTGACAAATACAGATTACAATCCACAATATTACAATATATATTTTCGCTTATTATCTAGGTTAGTATCTTATGTGATTAACAATATATGTTTTTTCGTTTTTGTTTTGCAACAATAATCTTATCTTAGTGTTAATATAATATAAATTAATCCTTTAATATACCTAATATGAATTCTTAAAATCTATTACAATATATTTTTTTATTTCATGCAATATATATTATATATATGATAAAATAGTGGTGTGTTATATATATTTTTTTCCATTACCATGTTAATTATATTTTAAATAAGTTAGATTAGTATATTTATTTTTCCATCACCATGTTAATTATGTCTAATATATGCTAATATGTTCCTTTATGTATTTGCATATAATTCTATAAAAAATTTAATCCTAAATTTTCCTTTTTTTTTTCAATTTTATTCATTTTTTTTTCTACGTTTACGTTTGTTCCTATATATATATTTTCCATAAATCGTTATATTATTATATTTTATATCTAGTTAATATTACTATTCCTATACTGTGATTTGATTATATCTTTTTACTACAGGTCCAGACCAGCAATTAACTATTGTATTTAAGTTCCATTACATGATCGAGACAAGTACTAAATTGATTTTATTCTATTCTATTTTCGTATGTGTTTTTATCTTGCTAATCGAACCCGTGACGTTAGAGTGTGCTGCAAATCAAAGCATCCTTCCACGACACTGGCTAAATTAACAAGACCTTGTCCTTGTAATTTCTTATTGAGATTTATTTGGCCATTCGATCTATTGGTGTTTCCGTTAAAAAATCCGTTATAAACACGACTTTGGAACCAACCACCAAACGATCAAACTCCAAAATTTTTTAAGTTGTCAAACCGTTCGGTATATAATAGTGCAACATTTATCTATCTCCAATAATAGATCAAATATGCCCCTATTATCTACCGCTTGATTTCTAATCGTATTTCTTTTCCGTTTCTATTCTGAAATTAATTTATTTTGGATTACTATTTTAGTTCTATTTTAATTAATTACTAGTATTTACGTTACTTCCTGCTCTTTTATTTACTTTAGTGTGTTAATGAAGCTATTTTTTAGTTGCCATAATAAAAGTTATAAATTCTTAAAAATTATATTTCACAACGTGGTGTTCTGTATGTAGTATTGTTTATATTGGTTGGAATTGTTTTACCAAGTTCTGGTACCCATATTCCCTAACCATTCTGTTGAATATGCATTTGGTAAATCTCACATCCGTCTTTGGGTCGTGAGCGTACGTTATCTTGTGTTTTTGTGTACAGATGCCGTTGTGCGCTTCGGTTAAATTCAACATTTTACCATTTTTTTTTCTGGATTCTACCTACATTATATTCGAATAATCTCTCGGTTGTTTTTCCCTTTTTACACGTATATTCCATATATTCGTCTCTTGAATTTGGTCACTATGAATTTGGAACGTACTAATTGCTTAATAGTCCTATCGACGGTGATACCCGGTGGTCGCATGTTCTTATATTATATTGTAGCGACACCCACCGTGTTTCATCGTCAACCCCCCAAAAATCAACTAGCACATTCCAACACTCATTTTTTTTCCATATTTTACTCACTATAACTAAATCCTTTATTTTAAAATGCCTTCGCGAGCACATCCCAAGCCGACTTTATCATTTATTGATATTTTTTTTTTTTTTAATTTGTGTTCTATAATTATTTCGTATCCTATACTATATCTATACTATATATATTATACTATGTTTTGTAATGATATTTTAGCTATCCTATCCTATTATTATTTAATTACTTATAATTAAAATTTCGTCATGTGTTTATTCGTTTTCTTCGTTATCCACATTATTGTCTTCATAATATAGTTTCACATCGTTTTTGTGTACCGTCACTTTCTTGCGATTCCGTGATATAACTACATTTTCCGAATCTAATACGTCCAGTACTTCGTATGGTCCCTTCCAAAGTGGACTTAATTTATTTCTTTGAGTATGATCTTTAAGTAAAATCATATCATTGATTTTTAACTCTTCCGTATTTGTTTTCTTATCATAGTATCGTTTATTTACTTCTTTATTCTTTATTAATCTATTCCGTGCAATTTGGTGAGCTTCCTGGAACTTTTGCTTAAGATCGTATACGTAATCATCATAATTGTACCTAGGTTCCGGTTTTGCTTTCAGTTTAACTGGTATATTAATATTTTTGCCATATAATAACGCGTATGGTTGGTATACAAACATGGCGTAAGGTAAAAGCTCATCCCAATTGTCTAAACTTTTACTTACGTAGTGCCTTAAATATTCTTCCAATGTCTTATGTGAACGTTCTAGAGCCCCATTAGTCATCGGATGATAACCGGAAGTCTTAATCTTGTTGATTTTTAACAATTTACATACGTCTTTGAAACAATTCGACATAAATTCGGTGCCCTGATCGCTCAAAATTTCATCCGGTATCCCATGTATACAGACAAAATATTATATTACGAACGCTTTCGCTACCGCGTTAGCGGTGAGACAAGGTATTGCTACCCCTAGGCTGAACTTTGTTAAATCGCATTGCATCGTGAGTATTTAATTGTTACCTAGCCCGGTTGTAACCAAAGGCCCTACAATGTCCAAAAATATTTTTTCAAATGGTTTCGTACTAGTTGTAGTAATTACCATTGGATATTGAATATGTTTGTTAGTATTTTTATTCATTTGACAAGCTGTACAATTCTTTATATATTCTTTTACGTCCTGCTTTAAGTTTGGCCAGTTAAATTGTTTCTTTATTTTCTTTACGGTTTTGTTGATTCCTAGGTGTCCACCCAAAACGGAATTATGTAATTGTTTGAAAATTACTAATTTTTCTTCCCCACTAAATTCGAATTTAGTACAAATTATTATTTCTATATTTGTATGACGAAAAATGTATCTTATCATTGATCTGACTTTTGCCCAATCTAGTCCGTCTTGTCGTCCTAATTGGTTCATTGCTAATTTGGTTAATTTATGTTTATCGCAAAAATATTTAAGATTTAATAAAGCAACGTGTAGACTTTGGTACGTGGCTAATTGTTTCTTTTTCGTTTTTGTTATTAAAAATATTATGTACCTATCTCCACTTTTGATTTTTACGACGTCGCTTAAATCTTTATGAGATTTTAATTGTTTGTCTCTACCAAATCGCTTTCTTAATTCGTAATTAATACCTAATCGAAAATTATAATATTTTTCGATTTCTGATACTATGTGGTACTCCGACGGACTGTTTATTAGTTCGCCGTGTACTTCCTTTACGTCCTTATTAGAAATTAATGTTGTTTCGAATTTTTGCATAAAATTATCATAACTTTCGTCTTTAATTTCCGTAATATTATACATACGCGATAACGCGTCGACATTGGTGTTTAATTTGCCCATTTTGTATACTATCTCATATTCATATTCCTCCAATTGTAGTCTCCACCTTGCCAATCGGGATAATGGGTCTTTTAAATTGAATAGCCATGACAAAGGCCTATGGTCCGTAAGAATTGTAAATTTTCTACCATATAAATATGGTCGAAATGTTTTTACGCCGAATATAATCGCCAAACATTCCAGTTCCGTTGCCGAATAATTACATTCCGCCCTGTTTAAAGTTCTAGAACTGTAAGCTATTGGTAAATCCGATCCTATTTTACCTTGAGATAATATTGCACCTAGCGCCCTACCGCTAGCGTCTGTCGTAAGTATAAATTGTTCAATCGTAAAATCTGGATATTGTAGAATTGGTTTTGAACACAATATTTCCTTTAATTTATCGAAAGCTTTTTGACAATTTTCGTCCCAATCAAATTTTACGTCTTTTCTTAATAATTTCACTATTGGATTAGCAATAGCACTATAATTTTCTATGAATTTTCTATAATACCCACTAAGTCCTAAAAAACTTTTTATTTGTTTAACATTTTTAGGAACCGGAAAATCCTTTACAGATTTAACTTTCGCTTGGTCCGGTTTGATTCCTTCGTCACTAATTACATGACCTAAAAATAAACATTCCCGTTGTAAAAAACTACATTTGTCCGGTTCTATTTTTAGATTGTGTATACGTAATCTCTCGAATACGTCTATTAATTTTTCATTGTGGTCTTGTAAATTTTTAGCATACACTATTATGTCATCCAGGTATACTAAACACTTCATTCCTATTAACCCTGATAACACGTTTGTCATCATTTTTTGAAATGTCGCCGGAGCTGAACTTAGACCCATAACTAATCGTTTAAATTGATAATGCCCTTGTCCCGTTGAAAATGCCGTAAGTTCTTTTGATTCTTTAGCCAAAGGTACCTGGAAATATCCTGATTTCAAATCTATCAAACTGAACAGTTGACATTGACCTAATTGGTCTAATATTTCCGTTATATTTGGTAATGGGTGAAATTCGTTTAAAGTTACTTCATTAAGTGCCCTAAAATCGATAACTATTCTGAATTTTTGTTTCCCCGAGGCGTCCTCCTTCTTTTTGACTAATATTGATGGTGTGTTAAACGGACTCATTGATCTTTCTATGATTTCATCTTTCATCATTTGACCTATTTGTTTTTCTATCTCCGGTTGTTGTGAAAACGGTAAACGGTATGGTTTTTTATAAATCGGTTTCAAATCCTTAGGAACTTTTATTACGTGTTCTGCTGCCGTAGTACACGTAAGATTATCACCTTCTAAATAGAAAATGTCCGCGTAATGTTCACATATTTTTATTATCGAATTATATTCGTGAACTTGAAGGTGATCAGTACGTATCAACGCCCTGACCCGACGCGAACGTTCAGTGTCAGTCGTGTTTATACACTGCACGTTATCTGTCAAAACATCCGTGTCGTATGAAATATTACGCGCTTGTCCTACATTTATTTCCTGTGTCATTTCAGATATATTTAATATGCTTATAGTAATTTTGTTGTTTTTGACCGTATTGTAAATATTCGGGCAATATACGTCCAGTATTAATTCTTGTTTATTAATTAAAATATTTTTATTATTCATTTCTTTATCAGGTATATCGATTTGTACTATTGTTTCTGAGCGTGGTTTTAATGTAAAACAAATATCACTATCACTTCCGATTTTATTATTATTTATTGTTAAGGCGCATTCACAGCTACGTCGTGTGTCGTGTCGTGCGATCTGAAGATGTGGGCTTGGTAACTATGGTTACAATGTTAACCACCATATTGTTTACCTTGGTATCTGGTTTTCCATAGAGCCCGGTCTTTTTGAAAAATAAATAAATTGACTTGGTATTAGTAAATAATATAATTCATGACTGTCATTATTACTGATTAAAATTGTACGTGACAATGACTACTGTTTTTTACGATTACTGTTTAAACCTGTGCTAATTAGTACAATTTTCAATACGAAAGATCAAGTAATTGACGTGATTGTGTATATTATAAAACGGTCCTTTTGAGGACCATCGTATATTAATTTATATTATAAAAATCATTTTCAAGACGTATTTAAAAATACGTAAAAGTGATTGAAAATGAAACGTCAAAATGAAATATATAACCATGAAATGGCATTATATAGAAGAAAAGTTGTGTTGCTGTATGTGTGGCATAGATGCCAAATACAAAAAACGTAAGTTTAATGAGAATGCATCTTTCAAGTTGTCAGCATCAATGTAATTTGACTTGTGAAAAAAACACGAAAAATGGCTCTAAAAATAAAAAAAAATATAGTTCAGTAGACTACATCTGATTTCAGGGGACACACCACACACATTTATTAATTGAACTGCTACTTTTGGCCTTTGACAGTTTTCCTTTTCTATAACAAAAATAAAACCTGTGGGGGCCTTAGGCGTAATTAGGGGGGGAAGCCTTGTAAAGTATCCGAATAAAAGTATTTGTATAATTTTTCTTTGTATTCGAATACTATTTTAAATACTTTTTTTAAAAATTATTCATATACTTATTCTGAATACTTTTATTTGTGTTTTTTATTTACACACTTTGATTTTCAATGGACACAAATTGTACCAGAGAACACTGTATTTTAGCCCCCGAATTATACTTAAACAACCTAAATAGGTCTTAAAAGAACTATTAAATTTGAATTTCAAAACGGTTTTTAATCTAGCTAACAGTTAAAAATGTTTTAAGTATTTTTTGTAACAAGAAGGTAAAATTAAATTCTTTAATTATCGGAAAATATATAATAATGACAAATAGTTATCTTGTATTTTTTCTATCAGTTATTAAAAAATCAATTTAAAAAAAAATCTTAAAACCTAAAATCAAAATTAATAATTGCTTATATAGGTTCATATATTATTAAAGCAAATCTTAAGATGGCAAAGCATCCTTTAAGATGTTCTCAAAAAAGATGCAAGTCATAAACAGCCTTACTTATAATTGAACTAGGAGATTGATGACTTGAAGTTGCTTATTATTTTAAATATTAGTTTAAGGAAAGAAATTTAATTTTGCATAAAATGATAGTTTTTACCTCTAAATGTATTGTCTTTGATACATTTTAAATTGATTTAATATAAATATATTATCTAGTGCTGAAAGAAGATGGCATGTGCGACCGATACTGCAAGATCGTCCTTTTTATGGCGACTACAACAATTTAGTGTCCGAGCAACAACTCAGCAACTCAGCACTGTACCACAATTTTATCCGAATGAGCTCAACAACATTTGAAGAGCTAGTTTGTTTGGTTGGTCCTCGTGTAACAAGATTTCCAAGTTTTAGAAAGGATACTTTAGTTGTTGGTGAAATATTATCATGTACATTGAGGTATTTATGAGTTGCATAATACTTTTATTTTTATTTATTTATTATATTTATCTTTTCCGTGTAAATAAAACTTATTTATTTATAAATATTATGCCTATTTAGATACTTGGCTTCAGGAGATAGTATGATGTCTTTGGTGTACTCTTTCCGTATGGGTCATTCAACAATATCAAAATTGATTTGTGAATGCTGTTCAGTCCTTTGGCAGGTTCTTGAGAAAAAGGTAGGAATAGTATTTAAAAATCTACAGGCAATTGTACCTGTATTTATGTAAAGTGTACTTAACATACATGATTCATGAGTCAAGATCAAAAAATATATACCTAAGCAACATACTAAATAGCATTAAATATTTTAAGGTTTTATTAACTCCAAGTGTCTTAAATTGGAAAAAACGGCTAGAGAATTTGAAGACAAGTGGAATTTACCACATTGTGTTGCAGCGATTGATGGAAAACATATTGTTCATCAAGTGAATTATTTTTATTTTATTTCTTATCCTACCTAAAGATACTAACCATATATTTCAGGCTTTTTCAAATGATAGTTCTACCCATTTCAACTATAAGGGTACACATAGTACAGTTTTGTTGGCTATGTGTGACGCCAATTATAATTTTTTGCTGGTCGATATTGGGGCTCCGGGAAGATGCAGCGATGGAGGGGTTTTCAGGAGTAGTAATATTGGCAAAGCTTTTGCCAATAAAACAATAAACTTACCTGAACCTATAGATATTGATGGTGTGAATGGACCAATATAATACTTTATGGTAGGAGATGATGCATTTCCACTTACCGAATACTTGATGAGGCCATATCCTGGTCGTGGAAGATCTACTATGCCAAAAGATGAAGAAATTTTCAACTATAGGTACATTTACTATAAGAATACACTTTACCCACATATTATTAATGTACAACATACTAAATTTGCTTTTAACAGAACCAATTTTTTTTTTTTAGCTTCAATTGAGTAGTATTTTAGAGAAATGTTTAAGATTTTATGTTAGTAGATATTATTTACTGAATGCAAATTTTCTATGTAGTATGTTTTTTGAGACACTTAATATAGATGTGGTGATATATTATTAATAAAAATTATTACTTTTCAAATATTAAAATTATACCAATAAAATATTCCAAAAAAAATATTAAGGTTAAGCAGAGCACGACGAACTATTGAAAATGCTTTTGGCATACTAGCATCAAGATTTATAATTTTCAGAAAGCCAATAATAGATTCAGAAAAAACAATAATAAATATAACAAAAGCAACAATTGTTTTACACAACTTTATAAAAAAGTTAGAAACAGACGCAGGTAAATATTATGGAATAATATTTTAATAAAAATAATAATATAGTAATACACAGTATTACATTAACAGGTATAAGCATGTACAACCAAACCATATCATGCAGTGCAAGCAACATGCAAACAGATGAACTACAAGGGTTAGTCCCAATAAACCGTGCAGGTTCAAATCATTATAGTTCAAATGCCAAAGAAATAAGGGACAAATTAAAAATATATGTTAATCATGCAGGAGCTTTAGAGTACCAACAGAGACAGTTATAAAAGAAAATTAATAGACATATACTAAAAATAAAACTTGTACTAATCTTTTGAACGGTGCTTTTTTTTTGCAGCAAACACCAATGCTAATATTTCCTCTTCCAATTGAATTTTTAAATTATTAGGTAAATCTTTCATTGTTTCCATAAAATAGGTGCAAAATGTGTTAGTCACTGATGGTGTTGTAGTAGGTGGTGGTGGTGGTGTTTTAGGCCTAGACGATATTAATTCGTTTAATATAGCTTCACCAATAACATCATGCGTTTTTCCTGAAATGTAAACATTTATATTAAAATCACACAATATGTAGAATTTTTTAATAGTTTTGTTAATGATAAAATAATATTAATTAATGTTGATCATTACGATTCTTAGTTTTTTGGTTTCTATTCAAACTAAAGTATTCTTATATCTCATTGTAATTGTTCATCCTCGTTATTGTGATTAATAATTACTAAAAGCATTATATGGACCATATTATTTTTTCATTTTAATATACAACAATTAGTATTGATTTATAAAGATATTTAAGTAATAATATAATGATCAATAAATTAAAATAAGATAGATATGTCATAATTATAGGCATTTATAGCAATTGTAATTATAATAACGACATAATTCATCTATCTACAAATAACATAAACATTTTACTTTTTCTTGATGACGAAGCATTTGAAATGGTTGGACTACTTTTGTCCATTTCAAGTGACAAGTTTGAAGAAGTACTAAAAAAAATATAGGTATCATGAAAAATAACAAAATAAAAATTCATATTTTTAAAGTTGGTATTTCATTCTTATCATATATAGTATGTAGTATTGAATGTTTGCTGTAATTTACATTTAATATAATTTACTAATGAAAATAAAAACAAGGTAAATTACTTACGTTGGTTCAACAGCTACAATGTCCTCGAGAAACTTGAGTTCCTCAAAATGCTCCCATACTTTCAATTGTGTACTGCCACTACCAGATGGACGTTTGTAACTTTTTTTTTCTCTAGCATACCTATCCCTCAAATATTTCCACTTATTCATAATAGATGTTACATCATAATTAACTAAGACAAAAAAAAAAACATATAAATACAAACCATTATTCAATAATAATACAAAATAGCTTGATAATAGATTGGACCAAACCTCCACACTCCAAATGGACCAATTCCCATAATTTTCTTTTTTTAATTTCAGTCCGGTCCTTTAAAGGTAGACGATGGTCTCACAAAGCAGGATGTTTAAGCACTGCCCAAATAATGGAAGAATATAAAGCTTCATTCCTAACTGTGTCACCATCTATTTCCGTAGTCTTTGGCCTAATATGTTGTGGCTTAATTGCTGTCCTCACTCGATCCGGCGATTGTGATGTGCTAGGTACCAATGAAGTATCTATAAATATTAAAAAATATTATTTAATGATACAAATATTGAATTACAATTATAAACAGTATAATAATTATGGTATTATGATTTAAAGTAGGTCTGTTAACTGAATAGTTACCTACATAAGCTACGTTCTTTTTGCCCGTGCAAATAGGTATCATAGCAATTGCTTTATCTAAATCCATTTTACTCATTTTTTTCTTAACTACTGATTCTAACTGTACGTGAATTACGTTTGAGTCTGACCTAGTATCTAAACGTCCTACGGTTTGTTTTCGTGGCGTGGTACCTATTTGTTCTGTTAAACTATGTGTTCTTACTAACTTTTCCTTAACAGTTTTTTCAGTTTTAACTATCTGTTTCCTAGTTCGTTCTAAAAATTCTTTCTTTACAGCGTCTTTTAAAATTGCCGCTTTTAATTCTTTCCTAGGTTTATATTTTTTAACTTTTATTGAACTGTCCGCAGAACTAGTGTCAATATCTGAACTATCGGATTCTGACATATATTTATCTAAACATTAGATATATATAACTTTTAATAAATTATATCTACTAAATTTACTAATATCCTATCCTCGTAAGCAATTACCAATAGTATTTACTCTACATGTATATACTATTATTAATTATAAATTATTAATACGTAACTACCGTCACCAAAATTAATAATACGTAAAAATTATTACTTATAAAATAACTATCATGCACAAATAATAAAAGAAATTACGTAAACGCGCGTCGTACGTTGGAACTGGATGAGTACCTATTTTTATCACACGTAAAACGTTCGACCGCCTATGCTACGCGTGTTAAATTTCGATACGGTATCCCCTCACCCGTTACCCTCGCACTGATCCGCGATGTTTTATGCGTACGCACTTGTACTACGCTCGAATATTATAAAAAACAATGTCCGGTTAATTACTCCGTAAATCCCTCTAATAATATTCGACTTCCTATACCTTATTTTTCTTATTACTAATTTATTTCTCTAAATGATTTAATTCCCTAATTTACGCGCTTTAACCATTTATTTTTTTAAACACTAAAAATTAATTTTTCATTAATAATTATTCTATCAACTTATTCGTAGTAGTATTTTTCTAAATCTTATCCTAGGGCCCTTATAATTAATTCTTCTTTTCCAAACTTTTCAATATTTGTTGCAACTACTTTTATTCAATACCTAAGGTCATCTACTGCCTTTAAATTCAAAATCTATCTTCAATATATATCAATTAATTTCTTTTAACAATTATATTCTATATTTCAATTCAAAAATTCACTTTAATCAATTATTCCCATATATAATTCAAAAATGCTACGGCCGTGCATCAATTTCCTAGATCAGCCTATCGCCGTCTACTTTAATTTATTAGATCAGTCCCCGCTGTCTATTACCATAAAATATTTAGGTCAGTCCCTGCTGCCTATCACAAAAAAATCTTAGATCGGTCCTTGCCGTCTATTTACCATAAAAATCTTAGATCAGTCTACAGCTGTCTATCACAAAATACGTATATAGTTCTTTTCAAGCTTGTTTCCTATTTTTTTTTTTATTTATTTAGTTTTATTCGAATATTTTCCCTAATATTTTACACCACCACCAAGTATAAAATAAACGCTGATTTTTTTTTTAAAGAAATTAACGTGAGACGTGCACTTATAACTTATACAATTTTAATTATGTCTATTTTTCAACTTAAATAATATACTCACAACAATGCTGTCGCCACTGCTGTGTTCATTTTCCTTGATTGTCTGCTGGCCCGTCTTGAATTTGTTCGTTGATTCCGGAGTCGCCTTGGTTGATCAGACCTTGACTGTTACCTCCGTGGAGCTGTCGACGTGGTGTAGCCGCTGCGTCGGGACTGGACCTCCGAAGTTGAATGTAGCCGCCTTGACTGCTGGACTCGCCTTTTGAAGTTGAAATCCGCTGCCTTGACTGCTAGACTCGCCTTTGGAAATTTAAATCCGCCGCTTTGACTGCTCGCCTCGTCTTAACTCCTTGAACCTCCTTTGTTCGACTGCGCCAGTGTAACGATCTGGTGCTTGGTACCTACTATCGTAGTGCTGACAGTAGACAAGTGGCTACCAAGATGTTATAGATGCGGGTCGCAGACACTTTATTTGTTGCTGAAGTCGTGGTAGATAAATGAATAACAAGACAGTTGTTGTATATTGTGAATTTTATTATAACGTTCGATATTTTCTAAGTCCAAAATAATATTGTACAGAGTGACGTGAAGGTGCTTGCTCTAATGGGTGGTAGTACACTTCTGAAAACAGGCCGATTCGGGCTCCCTTATATATGAGGTTCCCCGTACCCCTTGCCTACATATACGATATCTCGGTTCTCACGGATGTGATTTGTTGTGGACATTTATCCGGCCTACGCATTTACGACTGCATGTATTTCTACATTATGATTATTATAAAATAATCTTTTTTACTCTTTTATATTTTGATTTCGTCGTATTCGGTTTTTTCTGTAAAATATTTCATCCGCTTATTTTTTGAACCCTGGTGTCTTTTATGTTCCCTAATCTCCCGGTTATGCCGGTCTACCGTATAGGATCATAACTGTGGAATTTGGTTTTATTGATACTGTCAAATGTTACTACGTCTAATTCTGAATCCCGATTCATCGTATATTATAATAATAACTATGTACTTATGAAATTGGTATTAGTATGTAGTAGCTGGCTTACTACATAAGTATAAAATTTAAGTATTTTCCCCTTTTATATAATAATAATTATCATCTTCCACCTATATACTAATCTATGTGAATAATCGTTAAATTTGTTATAAACATATGCAACTATAGATCTACTTAAGGTAATTCATTATGTAAGTTGGATCTCTAGTATTTTCTATTATTTTTACTAGTTGCTTGCACTCTCCATTACAATAATCATCCATGAAATGTTCAAGGCTTCTAGTTATTTTGTTTAAGGTTTTATGATCGTAATGGTTATTAATTTTTTGGTTTGCCTTTAATACATGCCAATTAAAGCATACGGATTGCAATTTATTTTCTTTAACGTTATAATATTATGTACTTCCGTTTTTTTTAAATGGTTTTTAGCTCCTCAATGAATCTAAAATATATAATAAATGTTAATTTATTTATTTGTTTTCATTGTTTAATTTATTTTGTGTTAGATTTATTTATTAACTATAATAATTTATTTATTTTGCCTTAAAATTCCTTTTATATTTTTTTTGCTAATTTATATAATTTAATGGGCTTTATTTTTGTTACTATATAATTGAATAGGCATTTTGTTAAAATTACGTCAGCAATCGGGTCATGACAATGTGTAATATTATGATTAATACCACATGCTAGTTCATGAGCTTCTCAACACCATCCTAACATTCTAACATTTTTATTTAATTTACCTAAATAGCCCGAGTATAATACTTCCTTAATTTCTAGGTTTGTTAATTCTAATTTAAAATCATCATTATTCCTAATACTAATTGCAGATTTGTTTAAAAATGCTAAAATTCCTGTCAATCTTAATCGCTTAATTATTGTGATATCTGATGATTCGTTCCAAAATACTACTATCGGCTACCTATTGCTTATGTGCAAATATCTTTGCAAGTATACCGTAGACAAGGTTGATTCCCCCTGGTGACTTAAACTTTTGTATAATTGTTCCAGCAATTGTTCAATCACTCTTGCCTTTTTCCCGCGGAATACTCGTTTGATATTCTGCACTATTTTCTTTAGGTCGCATCGGCGGAATCTTCTTAACTTATCATCTTTTGTAAGTATAAGAGGACTCCCCTCCAATTTCTTGGGTTGGTACTTTTCTAAACTATTCGAACTGACGGTAAAGAACTCGAAGTCCATTATAAAAAAGCGTATCTGTGAGCTAAAATAAAATGATTATATATTTTTTTAAATTAATTGGTTTCTTAGTAATTATTGCTATGTATATAATATATGTTTCCTGAGGTTTATTCTTCGAAAATCGTTTCGATGATCACACGCCTCCTGATTAACTGTTCTAATAGTAATCCCAACTCTACACACATGGGTCTATTATGATTTGGTCGTACGATAACCGTGCGTACAAAGTCATTAACATGAATCATAACTCGTGCTAAGATATTTGGCCTGAAGGGTATTGTCATGTTATTATTCACCCTTCTTATGTGCTCCGGGAAGCAATGTAAACCGACTATTCCCCCTCGCATTATCTGCGTATGATCGGTCGATGTAATTAATTCGTTTTTCAACTCTCTGAAGAATTCAAGTGTTTGTAGTTGCATTCGGTCAGATCGTGTTACAGGTGGTACGTTCTCACCCATTTTTATATTTTAAAATTTCTACGTGTTTTTTTTTTTTTATTAATCTTTTGTTTTTCTTCTTAATTTCTGAAATAGTTAAAAGTTATTGTTATATAATTATAGAATATTATTTTACGTATATATATATTTTTATGCACGTAATATTATTTTATTTAATTTCATAGAATATTGTGTTACGTATTATTTCTTTATGCACGTAATAATGTTTTATTTTATTATTTATTTTCATTTATCTTTATTTATTTAAATTATATTATTATTCTTCGTTTTCCTCTTGTTATTTCCTAAAACACAACTATTATTATTATATATCTATAATTTACATGATATATTAATTCCATTTATCCTTATTATCTGTTTATTGCTTATTTTATATTTATAACTTAGTTTTTATTATTTTTTATTAATATGTTACGTATTTATTTTCGTTTTGTATGCTTTATATTATTTTTATTCTATATGTTTATTTTTTTATTAATTAAACTTAATGTAGATAATTCGTTATGACTAGTGACTACTCTTAATATATTTTTATTCTATATATCTTGGTGAAGGTGGTGGAGTAAAGGGTGTCTCTTCATAATTTCGTACGTAGTCATTTCTATTGGGTGTATAGGAATATCTAACTATTCTGCCGGGTAATTCCATGACTTCTGTGGTCCTGATATACTTGCATTTTATCCTTATATAAATTGCTATTATTAGTATAATAGATATTAATGTCAGTACTATTGTTACATATAACAAATTACTGTGTACAAATTGATGTTTTTGATTTTGTTCTCTTAAAAGTTCTTGGTTAATCATTTGTTGTACCTCGTCTAAAGACTTGGATGCGTCGTGTAAATCTGTGAATTGCATAGCTGGTCCTTTTTCCCATTTTTCATCTGTTTCGAATTTGTGTATATGTTCGGGTATTTTTTCTAAAATATTTTTCATGTTAGTTACAGGTGTGAAGTCCTTATATTTTTTATTTTGGATTTCTTCCATGGCCGTTAATACTGCGTCCCGTGCAAATACTTGGCAACTGATGTCATTTATAGTTATTTCTCCTGCTTCATTTGTTTCTGTTATGAATGGATCTATTAGGTTGGTGCAACTTATTGTTAGTGCCTCTTTTCCTGCATGAATCCATGTGTTTTTATTTTGCAATTTTTGGTATATGCTTCTCTTTAAATTAATTTTCTTTACCGTACATAACTCAGGATTAGAATATGTGTCAGATTTTATGAAGTTTTGCACTTCTTATGGTTGGCGTTCGTTGTTGTACTGTATAGGTTGTGGTGTATTACATATTCTATGTATTGAAGTTTCCTTACATTCTTTTAATTGTTGATCAGTGTATGTGGTATACCTTTTATAACCTTTGGTTACAGCAATATTATTGTAAGTAATGTCCATCATGTACCTAACCCACTAGAATTATCTTGCTTATATAATATGCTCTAAAATTTTTTCTCTTAATGTTTTGGGTTGTGCGAAATTATCATTAACCTGTTGATTGATATGATGGGGGGTGGCTGCTGAAGATGACGAGTTACTAGGCGATGGAGGAGGTCTTTTGATTGATTCATTTGGTATGACTATATGTTTATTCGGTTGCATTGGTTTTATAATGTTTGGAACATCTAAGTTGTTTGGGGTATTGTATATATCTATATCCGTTAAACTTGTATCATGTGGGCCATTGGATATTAAATGTTCCGAAATTTCTGTTGTTTGTCTACTATTATTGTTGACGTAGGTATTTTTAGGATAATTCTTGCAGGAATTAGAGGTATGCCCGGTTTGTTTACATGTATAACAAGTGAGAGTGTCGTCATTTATAAAGATTCTGAAATCGGTGTTATCGAATCTAATAACAATTGATAAGGGAAAATTTGCGATATCGTCGGGGTGAATGTATACCTGGCGACGAAAGCTGCTTATATGTGCCAGTTCATCTTGAAAACCGGCTTTCAGAAAGGTAATTTGCGATAGTGTTCGAATGCCGTATGAGATTAAATTTTCGTTGATTACGTCATGCGGTATTATCGGATGAGCATTAGAAATGATATATCTTTTTGCTGAGTTAACCAAACGACGAAAAGGGATTTGATGTTCGTTTATTGTTATACAGGAAAAATTTTGTATTAGTTCATCGACGGTACATTTGTCCGTAAAATACACGCAGAAACGATTATTAGAAATACGAGATGCAAACGATATTTTTTTTGTTGATGTAATTTTGCCGAGGGCTTTTATGTATTCTAATTGAGGTATATCATTGATAGTGTTTAAAACGATGGCTTGTTCTTTTTTTGGATATTGAGTGTTGGCAGTGGTTTCAGCGAAGGTTTTTAAATGAGATGTAGATTGTGTATTTTGTTCTTGGGAATTCATGATTGATAAAATTGCCGTAGCCATAATATCAGACATTTGCACCGGTGTGCGCTGGCGGCTTAATTAGGTAATTACGGGTCAAGATAAGAAGTTACATACCTGCCCGATGGTTGCTGTTATGACAGGGTTTCTAGTGACTCACTTTTTTCACTATTTCTCACTATTTTTCAATCAACTCACTTTTTTTTACTATATCTTAAATGTCCTCACTTTTCTCACTATTTATCTTTATAATCTAGAAAATAATTAAAAACCCTACGTTTATTTAAAATTTCTGAAATATTGAAAAAAAAAATATAATTAATACGAAAATAAAATATCTCTTTATATTATTTATATTATTATATGATATTATAATGTAAGTAGGTTTTAACGTATTGACAGTCAGTTGGCGAGCGAGACCCGCATTTTTGTTATCGATGTTTCAGTTTCAGTGTTATTGATATTTGTTTATATTATTTGTGTGCGTGTGTATGATCCGTATAGTGGATAGTATATAATTTATATTTATAGATTTTACAGTGTACATTTATAAGAAAAATGATATTAGGGTTTTCACATGACATTATTAAATTATTTTGTTGCCGTGACTCGAGCTGTCCACACGTACGTTACTCGTAACACGTAAGTTTAAATTTTTGTTATCTTGTTAGTTATTAATTAAAAACACGTTGACTGCCATGCGGCCGCCGGCGGTCACACTATAGGGTATCATGTCTGTGGAGTGATGGCAAAAGCTGATATGTACATTTTCTAAACTTAGTTTTGCCGTTACATATATTTTCGAATAATGACAATCAGTTTTCGTCTTTGCGCATAAATGGCGCCACACACACGATGAAAGACATATCATATTTTTCCACCACTTGAATTATACGATTTTCCAAACTATTTAAATGATAATTCAAAAATTAACAAAATGTACACATCAGCTTCTGCCATATTTCCATAGATGTGTACGCCAAGTAGGTACATTTTCCAGTGTCATTACAAATTTGTATATTATATACTATTAAATTGGAAAAAAAATTTAAAAAAATAAAAAAAAACGTAAAAATATGTTTCAAAATTTTTTTAATTATTCCCGCTACGCCACAGTGTATTTTTCAGTTCATTATTGTAGCGCCATGTAAAAGTTAATAATATAAATCCAAATTCATTTACGGCGGGCCGCGGCTGTACGGCCTCCTAGGAATGACATGGTGCGGCAGCGTACGTTCTAAAAACTATCGATACGTATTTTTTTTTTGCGGCTGCCGGCGGCCGCATGGCAGTCAACATGTTGAAAATAATTTCTTCACTTAATAATTATATATATTTTTTGTATAGTAATAATAATAATAATATATCATCATTCGCCGTATCGACATATCACCGAAACGTTCCATTCCCGATATTACCTCAGTACACCTAATACCTATGCATTATACAATTATAAATGAGGTTTATAAATATTTTATTATAATTATTATTTTAAATTTGACTTATGATGAGATAAAATTCGATATTATTACCTAATTTTTTGTACAGTTGAGTACTTTTTTGCTTTGCGATATTTTTACCGCCACGTTATTACTGCGATACTATTACCACTACAATAATTCCGCCTTATTTTGACGGGTTCCTATTCTAATATTAATTAATAATATAATTTTTTGTTTATATATTTTAAAACATTTTATTATTTTAATTGACTTTTTCTAAAATCAGCTACGTAATACATACATGACTGATGTATATTTTAAATGTCTTAGAAATACCATGAAGTCAATGAAAGTCAAATGTCGAGTTCACGATGAATGGCTGACAAGAAAAGATAAACTCGGGTATGTTATTTCTTCTTGGGCAACAAAAAGAAATGAGTCTAGTGTTTTCTGTGCCGTTTGTCTATCAACATTTTCCTGTGAAATGAAAGGCTTTCAAGCAATAACCCAACATGTTTCTACTAAGTTTCATCAAAATAATGCTGAGTGTAAGCTTGATTCTACACAACTTCGATTGATTAGGACTCATGACTCAGCGCCTGTTTCTTCATATTCATATACTGAACAGCCGATTCAAAGTTCATCGACGAGTGCTTTGCCGATTTCTAGTAATGTTGGTCTTCGATGTATTAAAGATGAAGCAATAAGGGCTGAGCTTTTATGGACAATGAAATGTGTCTGGTCTAATTATTCTGCTTCATCATGTGACGGAATTGTTAATATATTTAAAGTGATGTTTCCTAAAGGTATTCCAGATGAGTTTTCTCTTGGCAAAAGTAAATTTGGGTATTATGTAACTGAAGCTCTAGGCCCATACTTCAGAAAACAGTTGCTGGCAGATGCAAGCAATGCTTATTATTCGTTACATTTCGATGAGACAACCAACTCTGCTGATTTTAAAGAGTTGCAGGTTTCTATACAATATTGGTCAGAACATGAAGAAAAAATTGTATTCAAACATCTTGAAACTTTTTTTATTGGGAAAGCTACAGGTGATATTTTAGCAGATAACCTTTTAAACGCTTTGAAAAATGCAGATTTGCCCCTTACAAAATTACTAATGTTGGCAAGGGATGGTCCTAATGTCAACAAAAAAGTCCAGTCTATAATAAATGAAGTTGTAAAAAAGAAACGAGGTACATCTTTGCTTGATATTGGGTCATGTAATATACACATTGTACACAATGCTTTCCGCAAGGGGTTAGAAACATTTGGAGCTGATGTTGGTGATATGGTAATAACTGTGAATGCATTTTTTGATGGATGGCCAAGTCGTCAAGAAGCTTTCTTGGATGCACAGATAAAAGTCAACGTACCACAGCATTGTTTTGTAAAACACATTACTTCTAGATGGCTTACCCTGTCTACTGCTGCAAAAAGACTTCAAGAGCAATGGCCGGCATTGGAGCAGTTTTTTCTTCGAGATATTCCTAAAAGTGCAACTCCGAACATGAAAAAAATTGTACAAACAGCCCAATTCAAAAATATTTCAAACTATTTAAAAAACTCGTTTATGAGAGCAGAAGTAGCATTTGTTATTGAAAGTGCAGCTATTTTCGAACGTTTTTTACTCATCTTCCAAAAAGAAGAACCTCTGATTCATATTCTATTTGAAGAAGTAATGGAGTTAACAGCAACTGTGTTGGGAAGAGTGTGCAAGCCTGATGTACTGTTAGATTTAAACAGCGTAAACTCTCATTTCATTTCAAGTAATTTACTTCCTACGAATCGTATTAAATGCGGTGACAATACCGAAAAAATTATATTAAAAATGAAAGATTTAGACCAACTTCACTTTAAAACCAATGTCAGAGACCATTTTATTGCTGCAGCTACTCATTTACTTAATAAAACTATAATCGCATCAAGTGCAACTACAAAACATTTTAAATGCTTAAAGCCAGAAGAGCGCAAGGAAGAAAAAAGTATTCGTAGCATAATAAAAGTTGCTCGATTATTACCTCTCAAAATATCTGAAACAGCATTATCTGACGAATGGTTGCTACTTCAACTTGACTCAAATTTAATAACAACATCAAACAACTCGTCACGTATTGATTGTTATTGGAACAACATATTTAACATAAAAAATGCTATTAATGAATGTAAATATCCTCTTATAACTAAAGTCGTTAAAGCTGTCCTTTCTCTTTCTCATGGAAGTGCATCAGTAGAGCGAGGGTTTTCCATATCTGGACAAATTATTACTCCTGATAAAGTCAGAATGAAAGTCAAAACACTTAACGCTAAACTTAATATAAAAAGTGCTCTAAGAGCTTATGGTGGAAAGGCTGAACTAATTCCAATCACTAGAGAACTTTTAACTGAAGCACATTTTGCATACAGAAAGTATAAAAGTAATTTAGAAGAAGAAAAACGTACGGCAGAAAGAAAAGAAATTGAAAAAAAAGATATAGAAGAAGAAAAGAAAAGAAACCAATTATTAAACGAACAACTTGTTAAATCACAAAAAGATATTAAGATATTAGAAGATAAATACAAAGAAGCCAAGAAAAATGAAGTTTCTCAGAAGAATGTGGCTGAAAAAATGATTGAAGAAGCTAATTTAAGATTAAAGAATGCTGTAAAGAAAAAAGAGTTCAATGAAATACAGATAGCACAGGCTATGTTAGAAGGAGCCCAAACTCTTCACAAAGAATATAAACTGAAGGAAGAAGCTTCTGCAGTTATTAAAAAAAAAATTGAAAAAAGGAAAAACAACCTTATTTCCTCGTTTATCGAAAAAAAACAACGCAAAGATTAAAATTTATTTCGTTTTCAGTTATTTTTATTTGTTTGTTACATTACTATAATAATCATGTTATTATGTACATATGTTTGATTGGTATTTACTATTTGCTTTTTATTTTACTGTTATAATAAAAAAAGTATTTTATTTATATTAACGATGGTATTTTTTATTACATTTTAGTTTTGATGTTACCTATCCTTATTAATAAGATGTAACTCACTTTAACTCACTATTTTGAAAAAAAAACTTACTATTTTCACTATTTTTAAATACCGTAGCTGCTAGAAACCCTGTGTTATGATGATATAAATTATATACTGCTATCGGAAGCTAATAAATATTAAATACGTAACACACATGCGTCTTGGACGGAGGTCAAACACGTACTGGTTGTCTGTATAGTAGATTCTTATTTTTGTAATTTTTTGAAATTCATTTAGTTCCCATCGGAATACTATATATTTTCTATGTAGTTTGTTCTATTGTTTTTAATGTTGATGCTAGTTCTTGCGGTGTCATAAGACTTGGATGTATCATTCCTTCTCAGTTACTATTTGTCCTAATGTTTCTGTTTCGTAGGAATATTGATTTGTAATTATTATATATAAATTATGTATTTCATTTTTCATTAGTAAATCTAATATATCGTTTGTTTTATTCTGTATTTTTGACATTTTTTCATATAGTTTTTGCTCCCTTTCCGTAATAATATTGTATAGTTGTTCGGTTTGATTTAATGTGTTACCAATATTTCTTATTGTTGA